CGTTCACTTCAGTGAAGCAATCTCTTGTAGAGGCACCGGTCTTGGCATTGCTAGACGCGGATAAGCCCTTTAGCGTCGTCTGCGATGCAAGCAATTTTGCAATCGGCAGCGCGCTCATGCAGAACGATGACAGTGGCAGTGAACGTGTCATTTCTTATCGGTCTCGGCTTTTACAAGTCGCAGATCTGAATTACCCTGTGCATGACAAGGAGCTACTTTTAATTAAGTATGCCCTTGTAAAGTTTCGGGTGCACCTCTTGGGCACCGAACCTTTTGTGGCTTATACGGATCACGCATCACTGCGGACCGCTATAAATTCACCGCACCTCTCGCCGAGAATGGCAAGATGGCTAACATTCTTCTCTGAATTTAATTTCAAAGTTAAATATAAGCCGGATAAATCGAATGTCTTGGCTGACGCGTTATCGCGCAGACCAGACTTAGAGGCAAGACACCAGGAATGTGTATCTCGTGCGAAAGCACAAGGTGAGTCGTCAACACTGGCAGCCATGAAGGCCTACCCTGTGACGAGCTCAATGGCCTCCGATATCAAGGAGTGTTACAGTCAGGACGAACATTGTCGCCTGCTGTTGGATCATTTTGGTGGACGAAAGGTTACCCTTCCGTCGCACCTCAAAGCGAAGTTAAATCGCTTTAGTTACAGTGATGGCCTGTTATGGCATCAACTGTCACCCTGTGATCCCTTGAGAATCTATGTCCCTCATGAGACAGATCTCAAACTGATGATACTTCACGAGTGCCATGATGCGCCATCTAGTGGGCATCTGGGTCGCGAAAGACATTCTTACGAGTGTCCGAGGAATTTTGGTGGCCCCACCTATATCGGTGGGTGGCCAACTATCTTCGCTCTTGCGAAGAGTGTCAGTGCATAAAGCCTGCACCTTCGAACAGTGCGCCACTGAAGCCACTGCCGATTCCAACGGATTGTTGGAAGTCGGTCAGTTTGGACTTCATGTTTGGCTTACCGCCTGACCATAAAGGCAGGACGGGGCTCGTTGACTTTGTAGACATACTGAGCAAGATGGTGCATTTGGCACCATGTAGCACCAAGAAATCAGAGAAAGTGACTTCCCTCTTGTTTCTGGATCACGTTTATCGACTACACGGGATTACCGAGTCCATAGTATCGAATCGGGATCCGCGTTTTACGTCGAATTTTTGGCGACATGTGTTTAGGCTGCTGGGAAGCAAGCGCCACATGTCTACCGCTGATTATCCCCAAACTGATGGCCAAACAAAACGTGCTAATCGAGTCGTGTCGGATGTGTTGCGTACAGTAGCAACTCCCAAAGAGTGGAGCAAGCAATTGCCATTTGTGGTGCTCGCTATTAATAATAGTGTTCACGCCAGTACGGGTGAAACATCGTTTTACATTAACGGACTGCGTCATCCTCGAACGCCAGTCTCGTTTGTACGCAGCCCGAGTCTTAGTGGGGGAGGGCTCCTTACTTCGCTCGGTGCGAATGCCAAAGAGGGCCGAGGTTGCCCTAGTGACACTGCTAATTAAGCAGTGGTCACGACACCTATAGGTGTCACAAAGGAGGCACGGCAAGAAATGCCAGTGCTCCTTGATGATGACACTATGGTGTTGTCAACAGCGTCGACCCATGAACGACCTCTTGGAGGCGTCATCGGCGAGCTGGATGCTAAAAGCGTGAGCGAAGCTCAGCGCTTTGTGGATGAGCGATTAGCCATCACACGTAAAGTCCGTGAAGCGATGGCAAGCGCACAGGACAAGCAAAAACAATATGCAGACCAGCATGGTCGCAAAAACAATGAACACTGTAGTGTGGGGGACAAAGTGCTGTTAAGCACTTCTATCCTACCTAAACATGCAATTTCTGTACTACCTGGTGGTACTACTAAGCTATTGCCCCGATTCATTGGGCCCTTTACAGTGGTTGAAGAAGTTGGAGACCTAAATTATAGGCTCACTCTCCCACCGTATATGAAGACGCACCCCGTATTTTACGTGGGTCGTCTGAAACGGTATGTTGATCCAGAAGAGATCACATATCCGCATCGGTCTAACGAGACCGATGGTGACGCCTACTGTGAGTCGAGCGTCGCGACTGATCAGGCGACGAGGAAGCCGAGAGGCTCCCCGTGTATGAACGAGGCGATAGAGGACTCGGTGATCGAGGAGGACTCCGCGCTTGACGCGGGTCTCTCATCACCAGTCGCTCTAGGATGTCCAAACGGGTCTTTAGGCGGTCATACCCCTGACGGTCTCTCGCCCTCACATCACGCAGATCCGAGGTCAGTCGCGAGACTTGACTCTCGAGATCTGTCACCTGCCTCTTCAGCGCAGCGGACTCAGCCTGCGACTGAACAGCAGCAGGGTAGGCAGCCGCGAGTAGGTGGGCGTAATCGCCACTCCTATGGGGCGCCACCTGTGTTGGTGGACACGGATGGGAACACGCGCTTCCTTGTTGGAAGGCTGTTGGCTCACCAGTTTGTGAAGCGAAAGCTCCAAATCCTTGTCCAGTGGAAGGGTTACCCAACGAGCTTTGACTCGTGGGAGCCTGTGGACTCTTTGCGCGTTGACGTGCCTGAGCTGGTGGCTGCTTATGTGAAGCAGCACCAGCTGTCTTCTTTCTGCTAGGTCCGGAAGGACTAGCAGAAGAAGCGTGGCGAGAATTAATTGGGGGTCGCTTACCACCCATAATTTCATGCGCACGCTTCATGGCGAAGCTTATTCGCTGTGACCGCTGTTTAGTTGCATCTTCATGCAAGGTAACACGGCGCCGAAGTTCAGCTTCATAGTCGTCGGCTGTTTCGTTAGAACGCAGCACGACTGGAATTGGGAAAGCACGACCAAGTGCTTTGCCCTGCTTTTCCCACAAGGGACAGACGCTATAAAATTTATGAGCGTCAATAGTTGCACGCTGCAAAAGCGCTGCACTAGACCCATCCGAGTCCATCCACTCAGATGGAGGTGGCATTGGTGGCAAGCCACCACTCACGTAGCCGCCCTCGCGACGGCGGGCTAGTGAGGCCAAAGGTGTACTTGGTGGAGCTTTAAGCGCACACTCACCTGAGTCTGACTCTCCATTATGGATTGTCAAGACATCAGCTTGAGAAGTTACATCTGACTGAGTCGCGACTGCTCCTTTCGAAGTAGCGTGCTCAGTCTTAGTCGCTGCGCTCGTAGGCGCAGACGACGAGGCGTTACCTTCGCTTGTAGGAAGCATAGATGCTTCCTCAAGGACGGGTGCCTCAAATGAATGGGACATATATCCCATCAATGCACTATGCTCATCGCCACTTTGGGGTGATGGCAGTAGTGTAGTCTCATTGTAGTCTACAATGAGAGATGGATCTTCATCCACATTATCGTGAGATGGAAGATTCACCCCAGTGCCTGACGCACTTTGCGACGGCTGCGATAAATCGCGGCGCGTGCGCTTAGTGCTGGACTGCATGGGTGCCTTTGCAGGCGACCCATCAGCCTTACCACGTTTGGGTGGCATGAGTACTGAGCAGACTAAAGCGGCGCGTTTATAAACGGCTCGCCAGTCTCTCTGTCTCTTAGGCGATGTTTTACCATATGTAAACATCGTTCTAAAACGGGGGATGGTGTAACAGGGTATCTAGTTACACGTAAACATTAATAAACTTAATGTTTGGTCTAAAAGTATCCATGATTACTTTTGACCTGTCACTTGGGTGCGATACACATATGTGATCCACCCTCGTGAATGTGATATCCATTTATGGATTCACATGAGAGGGGATGACGCTAGTTGAAGCTAGGCATCACGACGTCTCAGAAGGACGTCAGTTGCGATCTTAAATATAGATTTAAGTTCATGCGACAGGATACGCTTCTAAATAGTCGCGTATCCGATCTATATATATATAGCCAATCAGTAGTTAAACATATATATAGTTATAATTAATTAAATATAGCTCAGTCTTGAATTTGCTAAACCAAAAGCACCACGCACGAGAAGCCGAAAAGCTTCTACGTGACGTCGGTGTTGTAAGTGTTAAGAAGTTCGTTGCACTCTCGCTTAAGCGAGAGGCAACTGGTGGTACGACTGCTTAAGCAGTCGACCAACCACACAACCACCCTCGCACGCGAAGGTAAGACGGTATAACCGCTTCCTCGCTTGTGCATAAGGTGTGTGCTCGTAGTACGAGGCAACTTCGTAGAAGTGCCCGTCTACATGAATTAGAAGTCATTATAATAAATCTCGCCTCCGCCACCTGTCAACATTGGTAACGACAAGAGCAATGACGACATGGAGCCAGACGTCTTCGCATTTGCTAAAGGCAAAGCTCTACAGACCGCAGTGAGTAAAGTCGAGGAAAAGGCTCAAACTTAATTGCTCTTTCGCCTGTTCACATACACTAGTTGCCATTGAAGTGGTGAGCACTTCATCAGCTAAAATTCTCTACACTTGCAAGGATGGCAAGAATTTATCTGGCCATCCCCGCATCTTCAACTCCGTCTGAAAAAGGTTTCTCTTAAGGTAGAAGGACTTACCGATAGAACAGAACTTCGCTTTCATTTAGAAGATTAAGAGAGGCTTCTGTGCCTCAAGGATTGGATAAGGACACAGGGTCACGTTTTTTTGTCGGCAAGAAACTAGTTATTTCCTTTGTCAGCTCGCTGAACTTCCCACGTGGGAGACGTAGAGTGTGTACTTTTATTACCAATTTTCATAATGATTTTTTTCCTTTCCGTATTGTTTAATAGTCCGCAACTCTGCATGTTTATTGCGCGGGATACATGGGTAATTACCCGCGGGTATGAGTCTGAGTCGTGGGTAAACGCCATTACCCAACCCAGACTCATGGGTACACCTCTACCCATGATTACTGTCACATCTCGGCGTTATATTTCGTCCAAATAGGTGGCGTTATAGCTCGTCCAAATAGGTGGCGTTATAGCTCGTCCAAATAGGTGGCGTTATATTGCGTCCAACTGGATGGCGTTATTGTCCGACATTGCAACTCAAAAGTGTCGAAAGATGATGCAGTTAACAGGGTTTGCGGACCGCGTGGGGGCTGCCGTCGACGGACAAGACGGAGCTTCACTGGCGCAGATGCTAAGCTTGACAGGAGGCTGTGCGGGTGTAGATATGCGCTTGCTGACGGCACAACAGGTAGCACAGACGTGCCACAACAAGCTGGCGCGGTTTGGTGTGTACGCCGAGGTGGCAGCAGGTATCATGCAGGCGCGCAAGCACCTGGACGCGCAGAGCTTTGCAGATGCATATAATGCACAGATTAGTGCCGTCATGTACGCACTAGCTTTAGGAGAAGTAGGACAGCACATGACGGAGTCTAAACATGTGTCTTCGTTGGTGTGTTGACTGCAGCAAGTTTATGGAAGTTTTTAGGGAGGAGACAAATTGGGTCATGCCCTTCCTGCACGTGTTGTTTGTGGATACGCGGCTACTTGCTGCAAGGGTGAGTGCGTGTACTAGCTAGAATAAAGAGTGATTGACTGAGAGTCTAACGATTTTTTATTACTGTTTACTGTAGGCGGATCAAGAAGCCTCGGAGAAGGCTGGAGACGAGATCCATGACAGTCTACGCAGTGCAGAGCAGCACTTGAAGAAAGGTTTTGCCATGGCGGCAAACGACCGAGCCCCGCCAGAGCACAACAAGAAAATGGGCGCGCTCTTCATTGTGAACCAGCTTTTCAAGATCTACTTCAAGCTCAATATGATTCACTTATGCCGTAATCTCATCCGTGCCGTTGAAGGACCTGCATTCCCAAAATTTGAACTGTTTAACAAGAGTGACAAGGTTACGTACCAATACTACGTGGGTCGTATCTCTATGTTTGAAGACCAATACCAGAAGGCTGAAACGTGCCTTGACTACGCATGGAAGCACTGCCACCGCGGCAATGTGCGCAACAAGCGCATGATTCTACAGTTCCTTGTGCCGGTGAAGTTGCTGTTAGGCGTGATGCCTTCGCCTAAGCTGCTGTCTGATTTCTCACTGGAAGAGTACACCGGTCTTACGGACGCCATCCGTGGTGGCAATCTGCACCTTTTTACGGAATATCTAGCCCAGTATCAAGACAAGTTCATCCAGCAGGGCGTGTATTTATTGATCGAGAAACTCCGCCTATTGGTGTTGCGAAACCTGTTCAAGAAAGTGTACGTCCTCTGCGAGTTAATCTTCTTTGAAGTGTGATTTGCTCACTACATACTCTTACTGAACTGTGCGTGTTGCCACTTCAGTTATTTGATCCAGCAAAATCACCAACTCCAGATGCAAGACTTTCAGTTGGCGCTCCATGTTGCCACGGGAAACTCCATGGACACGGATGAAATTGAATGTGTCCTTACGAACCTCATTTTCAAAGGCTATATCAAGGGATATATGTCGCACACGAAGAAGATCCTCGTTGTCAGCAAGACGCAGCCCTTTCCTCCAATTGTAAGTGTGTCAAGTTAGGTAGCAAACTCCAGCGCCAATGTTTTCAGGGAAAGATATTTGGACCAGATTCTACGCTGTGGTCAAACAAGGCCAGTATTTGGTTTTATCATTCCTCATCAATACAAGAAATTTACTCGAAAAAATGTGCAGCGGCGTTTCTAACCTTAATTTAGATTTGACTTTATAAATTAAGGTTAGTAAAAGTAGGAGATTGACAGAGCCGATCTTTAGGATTCACACCGTCGATGTGGTCATTATTAAATCAACCTTCCAAGCCTCAAGTGCCAGAACAAAGCTCAGCCTCTCCTCGACAATGGTCTCGATTGTGTCCATTAAGGCTCGCCAGATTTTCGACTCGCGAGGCAACCCGACCGTGGAGGTCGACCTCGTGACCGAGCTAGGCGAGTATCGTGCTGCTGTGCCCAGTGGAGCTTCCACAGGCGAGTTCGAGGCCCTAGAGATGCGTGATGGTGGTGCCGACTACATGGGCAAAGGTGTTTTGAACGCTGTGAGGAACGTAAACGAAATCATCGCTCCTGCTCTCATTGGCAAGGACGTGACTAAGCAGGCCGAACTTGACCGCTACATGGTAGAGACCCTGGACGGCACACAGAACGAGTGGGGCTGGTGCAAGAAAAAACTCGGCGCTAATGCTATTCTGGGTGTGTCGCTGGTACTATGCCGTGGTGGCGCCGCCGCCAAAAAGCAGCCCTTGTGGCAGTACATCGCCGACCTTGCCGGCAACCCTACGCCGTGCCTGCCCGTGCCGTCGTTCAACATCATCAACGGTGGCTCCCACGCCGGCAACAAGCTGGCGATGCAAGAGTTCATGATCCTTCCTGTGGGTGCCACGAGCTTCACGGAAGCCATGAAGATCGGTTCAGAGGTGTACCACAACTTAAAGAAGGTGATCAAGGGCCGTTACGGCCTGGACGCCACGGCTGTGGGAGACGAGGGTGGTTTCGCCCCCAACATCCAGTCAAATGGAGAGGCCATCGACTTGATCGAGGATGCCATCAAGGCCGCCAGCTATACAAACCAGGTACGTCTTGGTATGGACGTTGCCGCGTCGGAGTTCTACACTGGCGCCACGGATGCCCGTTACAACCTTGACTTTAAGAACGAGAACGCTCCCGAGTCAGAGAAGATCTCGGCTGAGAAGCTTCTGGAGGTGTACGAGGGCTTTATCGCGAAGTGCGCCGGGTCGAGCAGGATCGTGTCGATTGAGGACCCGTTCGACCAGGACGACTGGGAGTCGTGGATGAAGATTACGGAAAAGGTTGGCAAGGACGTGCAGATCGTGGGAGACGACCTGACGGTGACGAACCCGACCCGTGTGAAGAAGGCCATTGAGCAGAAGGCTTGCAACGCTCTTCTGCTAAAAGTGAACCAGATCGGCAGCATCACGGAGTCGATTGAGGCCGTGACGATGGCCAAGAAGGCCGGTTGGGCTATCATGGCTAGCCACCGCAGTGGCGAGACGGAGGACACGTTCATCGCTGATCTGGCTGTTGGTCTGAGTGCCGGCCAGATCAAGACGGGTGCCCCTTGCCGCTCGGAGCGTCTGGCGAAGTACAACCAGCTTCTGCGTATTGAGGAGGAGTTTGGTGCCAACGCTCGCTACGCCGGCGAGGACTTTCGTGACGTGGAGAAGCTCGGCAAGTACTCGACCTTCTAGGTGTTTCATGCACTTGACCTGTTGCTCCCGCTGATGAAAAAGAGTTTGAAGTTTTAACCCATATACCAGTTCAGATACTCGTTTTTTTCTGCACTTTGTGTTGCGTGAGGACATTTACTTCGTCAAGCGGTCCTTCTTTCCCGTGCTGGATTAGTAGCGAGCGCAAAAATAGTATGACGTTCACCGTAGGCTTTCTTGTATGGTCGAAAGTTAACTGCTGCTTCAGCATGCTATAGGTGGCCAGCCGCTAGTCGGTATTCTTCACAACTTATCTGTTCATTAGTGCTCATCCCAATTTTCTCGGTAAGCTGGTTGATTTGCTTCTGGAGGTGCAAATCTGCTCTCCATATTGCCGCTACGCAGGACTGTTCATTACTCAGAACGTATACTAGTAGCTCAAATGCTGTGATTGCCGCCTCCAATTCTTGCGAGCGATCTCGTTCAATCCATTGTTTGGAATATTGCACAGACAGGGTTATCATGATAGCATGAGACATCACATCACAGCACTAAGAGACTAACTCACGCACCACCAAATGTTCATTGAGCATTGTCGCTTTGCTCTCTGCTACTCGAGCAATTTGTTTTGCCTTCTCAAGTAACTGCATGAGCTCCATCTCGTCTACACTACAACAAACGAAGCGAGTCCCAAATAAACCTCAGCTACACTTTCCTTACATTTTTGGCTTTCTTTCGACTTTTCATTTTGATATTATCAATGCTCATTGGATGTGGAGGCTTCGCGGAACGATGGCAAGCCAAGGGCTCGACACTTAGCTTTCTCGTAGCTCATCATTTATCAACGTTAGTAAATATTGCACCAGATAGCAATGAAGACGTTTCCGTGTCCGCGACAATGTTCGCGGACTTTGTGCGCAAGTGCGGACTATCCAAGAAAAGGCTACACCAGGAGCTCTACCCTCTCGAGTTTGGTACGAGTAATTTCTTCATTTCCAATCTATTTCCGCACAAAGATGTGACGTATGTCAATGATTTTTTCAGGACAAAGTGCACGGACTGGTGAGTTCCCCATTGCAGTTGCTGCTTCGGGAGGCGCTGATAGCATGGCATTGATGCTGTTGCTGAGAGAATATCTGCAGGAGAATCGCATTCAAACCCCGCTTCTGGTGGTTACAGTGGACCATCGGTTGCGGCTTGAGAGCAGCAGAGAAGCACTAGAGGTGGCTAAAATTTGTGCCGATCACGGTGGTATACATCATGTCACGAAAGTGTGCGATTGGTACCGTGATGAAGCAGAACAACAAGCTGGAGAAGGACGTGTGGCTGATTCGTCAAGGCTGGTAAAACCACGCAATAGCAAGATGGAAGAGCAAGCACGACAGTATCGGTACGACTTGTTGCGGCAAGCTTGTCTAGAGCACCGAGTGCGGTGTTTGTTCGTGGCTCATAATCATGGCGACCAGATCGAGACGATGCTTTTTCGTCTTGGGAGGGCGAGTGGTATTAATGGGTTGGCAGGGATAGCAAGCCAATTGCCATTCTTCTCAGTCGATGAATCATTGACTCGTCCCCGTGGCACTCAAGATTTGGAAGCAGTTGATATGGCAATGCTCGTTCGGCCGTTACTTTCTGTCACAAAAGACAGATTGATGGCAACCTGCAATCGATTTCAGCAAACGTGGATACACGATCCCTCCAATGATAACCTCATCTATGATCGTGTTCGAATACGTCAGGTACGCTTGTGGGTATTTTTGTGTGTGGCGGTAACACTGAAGTTAGCAGAATGCTTTTATCGGGACAGGAGCTTAAGCGAATTGAAAGAGAACAAGGAGCCACTATCCTAGACTTGTTCTCTAGGTTCCAGAAGACCGCTGAGAAGGCCAAGAAAGAGTTTGAACGTGCTGGTACGACGGAAGTGAGATGAAAAATATTTTTGCTACGTATTTCTAACAATCTTCTATTGCGGTAGAACGATATATACTTCACAAGTACACTGTCACCTGGGAGCCAGACATTGTCGTCATGCAGAAGGCAATCTTCCACGATCCAAAAGTGTTTAGCGAGCTGCTTTATCGGTTGCTTTCGCTTATCATTGTACACATTGGCAACAAGGGGGCGCCTCCACGGTTGGCATCCGTCGCTCGTCTTGCACGCAATCTACAGCATCTGGAGACAGGGAAGCAGCTTACGTTAGGCGGATGTCGGGTGCGTGTATTCGCGTTGTATAGCTGGTCATTTTTAACCAACTCGTGGTTTCAATCTAATCAAATGTGCATTCCCTGGCAGATTAAACTGATTGCAAAAGGCCACCAAATTGAATTCCAGTCTGAGCACAAGAAGAAATAAAAAAGGTATGTCTTTGTTAATCGAACTGGTACATTGTACCTATGCGCTCCACGCCATCAGTTTTGCGATACTGTTTAATATTCACAATGGGCAAGAAGTCTGAGCAAATTGAGGTGGCACCAGTACCCGGGTTCTTTGGCCACGTCGTGAGCCCTGGCCAGCCGCTTCGGTGGGCGAATGACGTCGAGGAGTTTTGCATGCAGCTGAACTCGGCGGCGCTCGGCGCTGACGCAAGTAAGGGCCGTTCCACGCTGTCCATAGTGGCCAAGACGTCCAAGATCGCGCTGTGCGCGCTGACGATGGGGGTGACGGAGCAATGGAACTTGACGCAGACGTTTACGCCCATGGACGGAGAAATTAACCTCGTCGTTGATGGACCCAATCCTATCCATGTCACAGGTTTCATCGAGGTGGCCGGAGAGGAAGACAGCGGTGATGAGCACGATTATGACGATAATGATGACGAAGAGGATGAAATGATGGTGTTTGGAGACGATTCCTTGAGCGATGTAGATGCTGATGAAGAAGTAGACCTAATCGATCAGGACAATCAGGACAAGAAGAGCCGTTTTGAAGTTCTTGAAGAACGCGTTCACAACAAGGAGCCAGAGTCGAAGAAAAAGTCGCCAAAGAAAGAGGCCAAGAAGAAGGAGGGGACAAAAAAGAAGGAGGAGACAAAGAAAGAGGCTCAGAAGAAGGAGGAGACCAAGAAGAAGTTGAAGAAGGACGTAGTTGCTGAGAAGGTGGCCGCTGGCGCTGCTGAGGTTGAGAAGAAGGCGAATGATGAAAAAGAAGTGGCCAAGAAGAAAGCCAAGACGTTTAAGCTGATGGAGAAGGAGAAAAGGATTGCGGAGAAGCTTGCCGAGGTCACTGCTACAAACCCGAAAAGCAAGAAGCGCGCGGCTCCAGTAGAGTCTGTTGAGGTCCCGAAGAAAGCTAAGGGTGCTACCCGTGTGCACAAGGGCGTCACCATCGAGGATGTGTAAGTAGATCCACTTGTGTGTTGTGTAAGTCACAAGCTAATACGTTGGTGTGTGCTCGTTTTTGATCCGTAGCGCTGTTGGTAAGGGTCGTCCCGTGCAGCGCGGCCACAAGGTGGGCATCGTGTACCGCGGCCGTCTGACGAACGGCAAGCAGTTTGACGCGACTCAGAACCGCAAGAAGCCGTTCACTTTCCGCCACGGCATTGGTGATGTGATCAAGGGAATGGACATTGGTATTGAAGGCATGCGTGTCGGCAGCAAACGCACGATCACTATCCCGTCGCGTCTGGGCTATGGCCGTGAGGGCTCGCCACCTGTCATCCCAGGCAATTCCGACCTTATTTTCGAGATCGAAGTTGTCACCGCATAGAAAGCACTGCAGCGCATATGTCAACTACGTAGCTTCAAACATAGAGATAACGTTGTGTAGAGTGTACATCGTTTCCTTAACAAGGGCCTGCTTCAAACAGACTTCATACGATCGGTAAAACGAAAAAAAAGCTCTCGATGTCGTCAGAAGGCTAACGTTTTAGCGGCTGACGAACAAACCCAAAGAACTTGATACAACACATTGAGCTTGCACTCCAGTAAAAAAACAAAATCACCAGTAGCTCGACCAAGTGGCAATGTTCGACTAACAGTATACACAAAAAGAAGCAAGTGGAGAAGCTCCCGTGCGTGGCACGAGAGCTTGAGCAAATATATATTGGCTGCTTGTGCAAGTTTGACCCAGCAGAGCATATGCAGACAAGGATTTGGTTCCTCATCATAGTATCGACCTATGGTGTGGTACTGGATCCACGAATTGTCGGTCTAAGCAGTTCAGCGGAAGCTTCTTTTTCTCTTCTTTTCAGATCGGCAGGGAAAGAGTCTACCGTAGCATGTTTACAAAGACGAAAACGTCCATCTTGGCTTGCTCTTGCTCCTGATGTAAGGTGACGGACCCATTGGCATCTTCCATCCGAGCCGCGAAGTCGGCAAACGGACCCGAGGCTACGTTCTGCTTGGCGGGTGAAAGGCGGTTGGTAGTCGAAGATGACTGCAGCGGGCGCTTGGCTTGGGGTAACACCATCGAAATGAGATCCTTCAGTAGATTGGGCATGATAGTTGTGTCGAATGGATTGAGGGTAGAGAGGGCTTGGAAATGGAGTCTAAATGACGTAGGGAAGGGAAGATGAATAATGATGGCAATATGCAACACACTTGTTGAACTTCTTGCTGAATGAGAACCACAATACAAATCCCAATTGCATTGAGCATGTTTTTCATTGGCTAAAATTTAAATACTAACAGGTGGTGAAGAATTCTACGACTTGCCTGTTATATACCAGGTTTGCATTCATTAGGAAAGCAACCGGCAAAAACATCCATCTTGCTCTATCGAGTTCTTCTATTGCTGGAGTTTGCAATCAGACTCCAGCTTTTTATATAAAAACCTTGTCGTTTATCTAAAAGCACCGAATACGTTGATCTCAACTTGTAGTAGAATTCGGGTATATGTAAAAACGCCAAAAAAACGCTCGACAACGGTTCGGTTGACATTCAAAACATCTTATGCAAAAGTATTTTGGAGCTGCAGCTGTTCACTTGTGCCCGACCAGGTCATCGTAGCTAAAATTTGCAACACGTTTACCCGAAAGGATTACTAATAGATAAATATCCGTTAGCAATGCTTTTGGGCAAATGCGTTGCAGTACAAGTTAGTTGGACATTTTATAGTCTTTGCATTGCCAACACTAGCATCGTGCGGCAAGCACATAAATACATTTCCGCAGTAAGAGGCACCACCTAATCAGCAAAGCATGACAACAAGCAGCAAAACGTTGACAGCATCACCAAGAGATTTGATTGTGTCAATGACACCCATTCTGTTACACTTTGACCTTAGAGCTCCTCTTTCGCAGCGGCGTTTCCTAGAATTTCATTCATGATATCGTCGTCCTCGTCATCCTCTTCGATCTCATCGAGCGGCACGTCTTTGCCGTCCCATGGATTAACAGTCTTGATCTCAGGCAGCTCATCGAAGCCCACTGTCGACTCGCGGCCCTGTATAATATCCTGCAAAAACTCACTGATAGCTTCCGCAGTAAAAGCGCCGCGCTGGACAACGTATCGCTTTCGGTCGAGGTTGATAGCCACTAGCGACGGATATCCAAACGTCAGCTCGAAACGGTTCTCAAAGTCAGGTTGGTCGCCACCCTGCATCCATCCAAACTTGAACGGCTTACCGCGCACAAGCTTTGCGGCCTCCTCGAGCGTTTTAATGTAGTTGTCGCGCGCACTCTTGCCGCCTTCGGTAATGTGCGGAAGCACGCTAATGACGCAGCTCGACTTGCCCTCGCAAAAGTCGTTTACAGCGTCAGCAGATGTAAGCTCCTTGATCTGAAGCCCGCCACCCATGACATCCAGCGACGCGAGGGCAAACTCCGTAATTGGAGAAGCTGCACGCTCTCCTTTATAGTCTTCAGCGTCAGCAGGACCCTTAGCATTCGGTCCAAACACCTTGATCGTAGGGAATCCTTCGATGCCATACTCATTAGTTTTCACTTCATTCGCCGTTCCATCAAGAGCAGCAAACTTCACAAATCCCTTAAGGTCCGATGCAGCCTGCTCCCACTCCGGGGCAAGAGCCTTGCAGTGTCCACACCACGGCGCGTAGAACTCTACCATCCAGACATCTCCACTTTCCAACACCATGTCGTCGAAGTTCTCATCCGTGAGGGTGATGACACTGCTCTTTTCACTAGGCGACGTCCTTTTCGACTTTTTCTTCTTTTTCTCCGTGCTGTCCGACAAACGCGCTTTGACAAGTCTACGCGACGCCACCAGTGCAGCATCCACAATATCCTTGGCAGTGCGCGTGCCCTCGAATGTCATGGGCTTCGTCTTGTCCGCTCCAAAGATCATGATCGTGGGGAAACCGCGCACTGCAAACTCCTGCACAAATTCTTCATGCTCCTGGCAGTCAATAGCCGCCAAATTCACGAAACCCTCCAGTGCCATGGCCGCCTTCTTGTACTCGGGCTCCAGCTCCTTGCAGTGGCCACACCACGGCGCGTAAAACTCCACGACCCACACGCCCGAGTCCTGCTGCACCTGCTCACGAAAGCTCTTAGGGTCCAGCACCTTGACACTGTCCTCACCCGAGTACATGCCTTGAACGCCAGCCAGCAGACTTGTCGCTGCAGCGCACATCAAGATTGCCGCACCTCTCATCGTCCTTCTCAGTCTTCTAATATCAGCTCAATTACGAAAATGATCGCACACGAGACACTCGACGGCCACGTCAAGCGTGACGATTGGCTGAGAAATCGATTGACCAATTGACGTGCAGCCTTTAACTACGCTCCTTGCTGATAGAATACCGTGTTTTTATGCGAATACTGGTGTTAGCTGGTAGCTGTTTCTCCTGATATTGCCAACGTGTCGATGAGTTAGTATTTCGCATATGACGATACTTGCTGGTCATATGCACCGATCTGTAGGGAATTGCACAAGAAAGCTGCACAAGCCGACAAAGCAAGCAACTCGAAAAGTATACAATGCGCAGCAATAAACAAATCTAGAGCTTACTGGTAGTGTGATTACAGGTGCTTCTTCTTGTACTTGATGAAACGTAACAGGTTTAGGCGCGTCTCCTTTACGTGGGCCACGAGAGTACGGTCTAACTGTTTTTGCTCTGCCTTCAATTTGGACTTTAGCGCACTAGAGGTGCACTCTAAGGCACCGAGGAAGTTCAGTGCTCGGAATGCATCGTCAAACTCCTCATCGTCGTACACGTCAAAGATGGCGTTGAGAGTCTCGACCACCACCTCCAGACTCGAGTCATCTAGCCGTGATACAAGAGCGCGTCCTACAGTCTCCTTTTCGACCGCGCTAGAGCAGCGCTTACCCACGCAGCCGATCACGCCAATTGCATTTAGTCGAGACTCAGCAGAGCGTCCGTGAGTAGCGCAGTTCACGATAAGCTGAGCGTCTTCAGCAGCTACAGCTAAGTGACGATCCTCTGAACTGCTACGACGCAGCGCTGACAATATTGCCGCAGTCACCGCAACCTCAAGGTCGTTCGTCGCGCTACTTTCTAGAGAAAAAGCAGTAGGAGCCTCAGAAGCAGCCTCAACTTCGCGGTTGAGGTTTCCATACAGAGCACATAAATTGCAAAAGATCTGAGGCACCACGTCTTCACCGAGCACCTCCCACGATACGTTCAGCAAAAGGTTGTTTACAGCGTTGCACACGCGAATACGCATCTTCTCAAAATCGTTTCCTGCAGCAAAAAAAGTTAGACAATGAAGCAAGCACCACAAACAGCGAGCATTTAAGCCTTACTGATCGTCTTTGTAGGAAGTTGCGGGATTGACACAAGTCCCTGCAGAATGGTCACGCAAAGGGGAAACACGCGGTTTCTTCCGAGCAACTTCAACACTGGGCTTCCATTTGCATCGATGCCTGCGTCCATGTCCATATGCGACGCCGCATACTCCTCCATAGCGTCCTCCTCGTCGCTGCCCCATTCATCTTCGTTGTCATTGTCTCCTCCAGATACAGCTAGCTCAGCAACCAGCTCAAGCGCCAGCGTAAGCGTATGCACGCTGTCACGCCACATGCGAACCTTCATCTGCGCAGTCATGATATGCTGCTCCTCGGAGACAAACGTATCGTCTTCCACGTTCTCATCTTCCAGAAGAGACTTCTGCGACAGCTCATAGTTCTCTGACGCCTGCTGCGCCATTTGCACTACATTCACTGCATCATATGCCAGCGCCGCCTCCAACACCGGCATCAATCGAGCCACATTGTCTTCCACCTGCATGATCGTCTGCAAGTTTATAGCAATACCCACCGCTTCTAATCGAACTTGCAGCGTCAATTGATCCAACGGCGCTTGAGTAAGTTCTAAAATCGTCTGCTGGTACCTCATGTTCGCTCCAATAACGTCGTTCAGCTGTGCATTGCCCTCCGAGATCAGCAACAGCAACTTTAACGTCTCGAGATGCAGTGCCGAGTGCGCGCGAGCCAGCGCCGCGATCTTAAAAATAGGCGGCAGCAATTATCCCTGCGTTAGCTCATTAATCGCTGCCTGGCAGCTCTCGCACAAGTTGCTAAGAAGCGCTACAGCCTGTTCCAACAGCTGCACCGCGCGCAAATCTCCATTACCACTGAGTACCTTGTCCGTGGCATTCTCCGTAATAACTTTCACGAGCGGCGTCACAACATTCTGTGTCGTCATGACCTCGCATAGCTCCAGGCCACCCGTTACACTCATATTGCGCAGCGCGCCCAGCGCATGCTGGCGCACCATGGGCAGCGGGTCCACGACCCGCGGGATGAGCTTCGTAAGCAGCCCGGCGTCCACCATGCGCTGCAGTTTACGACGGCTCTTCATTTCAACCTCATCACTCTCTGTGTCGCCAAACATAGTGGCAAGTGCAACGCACGTGGCTTCACGCACGGCGCCCTGCAGGTCCACAAGGCCTTTAAACAGCTGCGCCTCATCTGCTGCCAACGTACTTAAATCCATGCTCTGTAGCTCCTGTAACTCTTCGGTTGACGGACTGCCTGTAAGCTGAGCGCGCTTCTTGTGGGTGATGGAGCGAAGCTTCTTGGCCTTGCCCATGGTGTAGATGACGGAGAATGGCTACACGACTTCGTCTCCAGCCAACTTTTGCGTGTCAATCTGTCAAAATATGTTCACTACATCAAGTAGAGAGTCGAAACCTATTTTAGGGTGCGGCATACATGAATAACACCTAAACGAACTTCAACGATAGTCGATACGATGCGCATCACTGACCAAAGTGCATCGTATCACTAAGTCCATCATTTTTCGGCTCTTTGATTTGTAGTTAGAATGCTGCCGTCTCATGTCCTCCGCGTTTCTTCTTTTTTACGTCGCTGTGTCTCCACTTCTACTCGAAACAGCTTCGTAGACCGTCTGCGTGATGAGCTGGCAGAGATCGACGCAGCCGGTACATACAAGCACGAACGCGTGATTGCGTCTGCTCAGGGTGCCAAGATCTCAGTGAATGGCGACGCGGTGCTCAACTTTTGTGCCAACAATTATTTGGGCCTAAGCAATCACCCGGCGGTGGAGCAGGCAGCGGCTCAGACTCTTAAGGAACGCGGCTTTGGCCTCAGCTCTGTGCGCTTCATATGTGGTACCCAGGACATCCACAAGCAGCTAGAGGTAGCCATCTCTGCTTTCCATGGTACAGAAGACACGATATTGTATCCGTCATGCTTTGATGCCAATGCTGGTCTTTTTGAGGTGCTGCTAAACAAGGAAGACGCTATCCTTACGGACGAGCTCAACCACGCCAGTATCATTGATGGTATTCGACTCTGCAAGGCCGAGCGCCACCGCTTCAAGCATATGGACATGAAGGATCTAGAGCAGAAACTCAAGGATACACAGCACTGCCGCACGCGGATGATTGCCACGGATGGCGTTTTCAGTATGGACGGTGATGTGGCTCCGCTGCAGGAGATCGTGGCGCTCGCAGAGAAGTACAATGCCCAGCTCTTTATTGATGAGTGTCATGCTACCGGGTTTTTTGGACCTACGGGACGCGGCAGCGATGAATACTGCGGTGTGAATGGAAAGGTGGACGTGATTAACTCGACCCTTGGGAAGGCTCTAGGTGGCAGCACTGGCGGGTACACGACTGGCCGCAAGGAGGTCGTAGACCTGCTGCGTCAGCGCTCGCGCCCGTATCTCTTCTCCAATTCGCTCGGACCGTCTGTTGTCGGCGCCACACTCAAGGTCTTTCAAATGCTCACAGAGTCGTCCGAGCTCGTCGAAAAGATCCGTACGAACACGCACCACTTCCGCGACCGTATGACTGCTGCGGGCTTCACTCTCAAGGGATCTCGGTATGAATGTCCCTTTTCTCAATTGCTACTCGCTGATGGAACTGCTGCTGACAATATACAACGTATCTGTTACACAGCGACCACGCAATCGCGCCGGTGATGTTAGGCGATGCTCGTCTTGCGTCTGAACTGGCTGACGACATGCTTAAGCGCGGTATTTACGTCATTGGCTTCAGCTATCCGGTACGATTAGTCCGCATGGTAAGGCACAAGTCATAGCGCCGTTTACTAACGAATTTGCTTCTGGTTTGTGCATATCCTAGGTTGTCCCGAAGGGCCACGCGCGGATCCGTGTGCAGCTCTCGGCTGCTCACAGCATCGAAGACGTTGACAAGGCCGTGGACGCTTTTATAGAGTGCGGCAAGGCACGTGGTGTCATCAATTAGATCGCATCCCGGATTAGGTAAAGGTGGTAGCATTTTCAACTTCATTTTTGCCAGGGAGTATTGGCATGGTCTTGTTCTGGCAAAGCATCTAGAGCTTTGGTTTTATTTCGCAAGTTGATGCTGCAAGAATGGCACAACCGACATCAGGGCAGAAGCGATGATACGGAAACGCAGCGCCAAAATCAGGAGCCTCCTTTGACATCTTGCACAGCTGTAAACTCATACTCTATCAACCGCATCTTAGAGCATTTACTACAATTATCTCGTATCGCGTGGGCAGACGGTCACAGCGAAGGTGAAAGTAAATGGACTTTATTACTCTCAGTATCATAGGCTGCAACTGTACAAAGCTTGGCTAGCTCTGCACCGATGCGGCATTTGCTCGTCAATACTGCGCACACGTATATCGTAGGTGTCGGTGCAATGCTCTAACACCACCGATCGATAACTAGTCGTATCAAAACAAAACGGAAAATTGCATCTCCTTCCTGAGTCTTGATCTCTGAAGTAACAGCTTTTGCCTCAAGCTTGCTTTTTCACACCTCTTGACCCCACACGCCACCACAGCAAGAACCTTCAACTACAGCACAATCCCTCAAGTATCAGTCCACGCGACAACAATGCAACAAAGTTATCATTTCTCGTCCCCTACAACCACAAGACACCATCCACAGACAGCATATTGCTCGTTGTGCTTCATTACTTTTGTGTATTCTTTCTCTCTTATTGCCGCAGTTCGTGGTGTTTCTCGAGTGCGTAAGCGCTTTTTGAGCCTCTAGGAAAAATGTCTGCGTATTTCTGAATCAACCCAGCATGTGTCGCAATGAGATAATCTTTTTGCTCTCTCGTTACCCGACGAATGTCACCCTGCGGTGTCTGCACCACCACAAGGATGGTGTTGTCCCGTATATGCTCGCCCGCGGCCACTACAACGCCGCTGCCAATGAAGCAATTGCTACCGATCACGGAGCCCTTCTGGGCTTGCGACTTGGGCTCAAACCAGTTGCCATCTCCCACGCGGCGGCTTTGCACCACGCAGCCGCTCTCAAACAAATTGTTGCTGCCGATCTGCATCTCGTCAGGCGCGTCGTTAACAAGCAAGGCTCCGTCCTCGACGAAGCAGCGCTCACCCAGGATGATAGGACCGCCTGAAGAGCACAAAGAAGCACCCGGATGCACAGCGCACTGTTCCCCCATAGTCACAGGGCCCTGAAGCTGCGCCTCCACACACACCGCAGCAGTGCGTGCCAGGTGTATCATTTTGTGTCTTTAATGGAAGATGTGATTAAATTCGTGACTAAAATTGGTCCCAATTGCGGCTTTACCTGAATTTAGTCCCAATCAAGTCACACAAATGTCAAGAGCGCGAGTGATCGACGGCAAAGCCATTTCGAAGGCGCTGCGTGATGCGCTCAAAGGCGACGTGGCCGCTCTCACTGCCAAGTATGGACGGGTATAGCTGCTTTTATTATCTTTTACTGTCGATTTTCTTTCTAAATACAAGGGTATGTAGGCACCAGCACTTGGACTCATCATGGTAGGAAACCGTAAGGACTCGGCGCTGTACGTACGCAACAAGCACGTAGCCTGCCGTTGCACGGGCATTCGATCCGAGAACTTTCTCTTCAATGAAGATGTCTCCCAGGTATAAGCAGACACAGACACGCACATAGTGAGAGAGATTGAGACTAACACTTAGCTGCTGGCGTGCAGGACACTATTGTGCAAAAGGTGGAAGAGCTCAACCAAGACCCGACCATTGACGGTATTCTAGTACAATTGCCATTACCTGGGAAGGAGTTGAGTGCACGAGAGATCATTGATCGCATTCAGCACGACAAGGACGTGGATGGCCTTCACCCGTTCAATGCCGGCGAGCTGGCCATGCGTGGACGATATCCCTACTTGATCCCGTGCACGGCAAAGGGAATCTTAGCTTTGCTAGATGACCAGCACATTTCGTTGCGTGGCAAAACAGCAGTGATCATTGGACGCAGCAATTTGGTGGGTAATCCGGTCAGCATGTTGCTGCAAAAGCGCAATGCCACGACGATTCTTTGTCACTCAAAGACGGTGGATCTGCCGCGGTATGTGCGTCAAGCTGATGTGGTAGTAGCGGCGTGTGGACAGCCTTATCTTGTACGAGGTGAATGGTTGAAGCCAGGTGCGACGGTCATTGATGTCGGTATCAACTTCGTGCGTGATGTGGATGACACATATCATGGCGAAGCGAATTCTGACGGCTTTAAGCTCGTTGGTGACGTCAATTTTGCCGAAGCATGTGGAGTAGCAAGGATCGTTACACCTGTGCCCGGCGGTGTAGGACCTATGACTATTGCTATGTTACTGCACAACGTCGTTGAGGCGTTTAAGCGCAGGATGGACATTGGAAAAAAGATTGTGCTATGAGAAGCAGCGTTGAGTCGCGACTTGTGTAAGGATATGTGAATTTATGGCTAAACTTGTGTGAGCTTGTGAATGTGTATTTGCTATGGTGCTGGCTGGGCCTGTAACGGTATTAACGACTGGGTCAACAAATGCCGACTATTCACCTTGTCTCTTCAATTGACGGACGCATGGTAGCAATATTCATGGAGAAATTGGTTGACACGTTTGTGCAATCGCATGCATGATTGCATACCACATATGTAATAAAGCGCTGCGATTGTATTGGGAAATCGGTGAGTCTGCGCGGCGCTGCTCTGGTTGCCGGGTTCAGCAATGGAAAAATTCTCACGCTGCAGTTTGACGGGTTCAGCAATGGAAAAATTCTCACGCTGCAGTTTGACGAGCAACTGCTTCAGTGCATGTTTTGTCACGAAGCTACTAGTAAGCGTGCAGTCACGAGCAATAACGATGAAGGCAGAGAGCGAGAGTGTGAAAATGCTCACGACCGGTGGTATTGCAGACTTAGCCGGATGTTATACTGGAGCTTATGCGGCGTCGGCCAGTTCTTCAATTGTTTGGAAGCGTTTCATTGTCGCAAACGAGCACCCATCGCACATACAAAAACTCTCCACGCAAGAAACTCGTGCACAGGATTATGCGTCCATCCGTTAACAAGCCGCTAATGAGCGTGCAAAGTTCATGTAGCGGATACAAGGTCCGAAATTACTGGGAGTGGAGGCGATGTAGCCGTTTGATGTCGGGTGTCTGCGACGAATATGGGTTGCTCAATAATTATGATGAGCGGCGTCTGTAGTGCAGCCTCGACTCGCGCATCCTGTGGTCATGTATCGATTCCATAGCCGTCTGAATGCCTCGCATACTTTGATGACATCCCGTTGGTTCCTATGGATGACGAAGCGTGTCATAAAGCATTTTCAGACGGCTATACGCAGCAATGACTCTCGCCGCTAATTAGTTGACCGCCCAATCTAAAATGAAAAGCTACAAACACGAATGTACTGCTTGCGAACAAGCGCTTTCGGATAAAGAAACACCAGAACTGATGCCACGGAAAAACCATCTTATGTGCTACAGTACCATTTACCAGTCATTCTTGTGGTAAAGCTTGCCCTTGATGCTAAGCTTGGAAGAGTTCCGCGATCGCCGCTTTGCGCCTGCATTTTGACGTGTTTGCCGGTCGCGTTGCACTCGCTGCTTAATGATCTCATTCTCCACGGAAAACAAATCCTGTGCTTTGTCATCGTCGGCATCTTCATCAGACCCGTCAACCTGGCTGTGAAGAGTCGTCTCTTTGACTCTTTGCACAAGTTCTGGCACTTCTTCACCATCGGTTTCCTCCCCACTTTCATCCGCGCAATTATCGTCATCGCTGTCGCCGTCTTCAAGATTTTGGTGAGCTGAAAAAATTGATAGCTGAAAGTTTATCAAACAAATCCCACAAGTCAGCCACTATATCGTATCGCGTTATTGATAAACCCCAACTTACATCGTAAACTTTCTCGCCAAACTCTTTGCCGAAGCCACTGGCCTCCACATCCTCGTCAAGTCGGACATGTTCATCGGCAACGATGTCCTCCAGCTTCGGAACACGCTATAGCATAAAGAACACACAAAGTCAGCAATTGCGTCGAGTCCCACACCATAACTATAAGGATCAACTTCGCTTTTTTACCTCTGGTATGAAAGCACCACCTTGCAACCGCGAGAAAAACTTTACAAGTCCATGTACATCGCGATTAAACAACCTGCAATCAAACAAAGTGTCAGAAAATGTGATTAATACAACACGAAAGCTACTTGCACTCACTCGGTAGCGTTCGGATGCGATGTTGAGATCATCTGCGGGAAATCGATCATAGTGATTTTGCCATCGTCTCCAATCATAATATTAAACTCGTTAAAGTCACAGTGAATCAGTCCATACTCCGCAAGACGGACAACAATCGACATGGACGTGTTGTAGGCATCCTCTGAGTTGGCAAGACGGCGTACTTGGTTGAGCGGGGAGCCATCTACAAGACTCATGCAAATTGCGTGACGGTTGCAGTCAAAGGGCGTTGGTGTCGGAAACCCACGGTCATACAATGCCTACAACAGCAACAAACAGGAAGTTACAATTACAAGCACTACTCTGTATCATACTTGTGTCAAGTGTTTACCTTTAGGAAAGCGTATTCCTTCATGGCCGAGAGTCGAGACATGTAAAACCAGCTGACTGACTTGCGATTCTTGAGATAATCTCGCTTAGATTTTACAGCACGAAACGATGTGCGTCCAAGACGGTGAAACTTAATCGCAACTTCCGTGCCGTCATCCTGTGTCGCTAAATAAATATCCGACTCCTTGCCAACGCCGATTTGGCGGCCCAGTCCCGTAATATGACCACGCTGTAGAAACACACGAAGGGCCAAGAAGTCGTATCCACTGTATGTAAGACGGTAACCGTCGTAGGCGTTACCATCGTGGGCGATGAGCTTATTGCGCAGCAAATGCGACAGGATTTTCTGCACACCGCCATGGCGGAGCTTGGCGATGCTGGCAATCAGCTCTACAGGCACTATCTCATGATTCTTCATGCCCATTTCGATGGCCGTCAACACTCGAAAGTGCTCTTTTGTCAGGTAACGCATGGCAGTCACGTCGAGCTTCATGGTCAAGTCTTTTACTGGTTGGTTGTAAAAAATATAGGGGCCAAATGGGTACATCTGAAAAATAGGGTCCAAATGGGTACATCTAGAAAATAGGGTCCATTGTACCTTTTGTTTTGACACTTTACCAAACGAAGTATTATCATTTCCAACTAATGACGCCGATTCGGTTTGCATTAAAACCGTCGAAAAAGCGAAAACGACAGGATGAGAACGAAGCGAAGATACCGCCACTATATGGTGTATTTAATAGCATTGAAGAGCTGCATCAAAGTATAAGCAAAAATAGTGGAGCGAAGCGTCAGGTGGATCTGCTTGAAGATGTCGAAACGAAAGTAAAACGTCTCAAGGACGAGGGCAATACACTTGCTGAAGCTGGTAGATTTCGAGCGGCAATGGGTAGATGGAAAGAATCTATAGGTATAGACTCAGACAATGCAGAATTGTATGAATTACTGGCCCAGGCTTCCATGGCGATGTACGAGGACTTTCAAGCTGTTCAGTTTGCGCGTAGAGCGACCGAGTTGGCACCAATGTGGAGTGATGGATTTCTTACTCTTGCTCGGTGTCAGCTTAATTTTGGTGAGCTAACGTTAGCACTTGAAGCCCTTGAACAGGTCCGTACTGCAAGTGCTTACGCGTTAACCAACCGTCGTCCTTTACCTAGCTACTGTGTTGCTTAGGCTGTCAAGCTCAATCATGGAGTGGAAACAGAGGAGATGGCAAATGATCGTCAGGATATTGAGGATCTGCTTGTTAAACAGAAACAAGCACTTAGGAAACGCGACCAAGAAGCGACACAAGAAGTAGAGGCAGACAAGTTACAGGTCATATCATGCTTCAAGCACCTGACTCTTCGAGCCAAGGTAATAAGCCACATGTGAGAAAAAGCTGATGTTAGTAAAGCAATATAGTATGGACAGGCATATTCATTCACTGGGGCTTAGCGAACGAAGAAGGCGGGAGTCTATATACTATAGCAACTAACTTACAAAACGCCGAAGTTCGACCGCAACCCGATCTGATCAATCTTCCCTGTCTCCATCGTCTTCATGACTTCCACTACTTTTGGACGAGAAAACATCCGTATATACATAAGATACATGCATTCTTGAGTAAGCTTTGCAAGCGCGCACGCAATCACTTCCGTTGGTGAGAAGAGTTTGCTGGGCTTGCGACACTTGGCTGCGTCTGCCAGATTTTCAGCAATGGTTCTTGACAGCGATTCTTCATTTCAAAAAACTGGCGGTGTTGCTCGCCTATCGATTACGAGCAGAGCTTGTTGCCTTTTATTGTGTACGACGAAGGCTCGTCGTGAGCGGTGTCGTAGGATGAAGCAAAGTCATCCTGTTGATCCGTGAAGTAGTGCATGTACGACCGCTTGCGAGTCTGACTCTGCTCGGCATCTGGTTGACTTGCTGGTTGCAACGCGTAGCAATCATAGGGCTCGTAGTCCGCTTTGATCGTATCCGCCTGCTGCTCGTGTCTCGTGTCAAACAACGAGTCGATCTTCTGGCTCATAAGAAAGCACAACGTTGTAGCAGCAGCTGCAATATACTCTTGGTCCACCGGATCGCAATTACCATGGTCCAGGCGCCGCACTTTCTTTCGTGGGGTGTTGCCTAAGCTGTCATTGCAACCACCTTGCTCAAGTGTAGACGATAGTGTCTTCCCACCACCAACAGACTCTACTGCAAGATGTTTACTCGAAGGTTCAGCAGACAAAGTAACCATATCGACAGTCTTGCCAATTTGCTTTTGTTCAGCTTTAAGCTTGGCCACTTTAAGCAGATACTTCTGGGCATGTGTACGAACCTGGGTCACCGACCGTGTGCGTACCACCTGTTGCACGCGCTTCCACTTGTGCCCGTGAATGTAAAATCCCTCAAGAAAACGTTCGTGCTCATCGGCTGTCCAACGACCGCCACGAATCGGCTGGGTAGCGATGCCGCCAAGGGTATCACCGTTCGTGCTACCCATCTCCTGGTCTGCTTCTTCTTCGCTTGCAGGTGCCAAAGCACTGCGATGCGAGTTGGGCGACGACTGTCGAGCTGGAGACGAATCGGTGCTGTATTGTTGATGCTGCTGGCGTGTGGAGACGTTCTGATTCTCCTCATCGTAGTTTTGCGAGGCCATAGACCCCTCTTGATTGGCAAGCAGCGGCTTGCCGTAGCTGTGGAGGGACGGTAGACTGAAGGTAGGCATGGTGCTTTTAGAGGCAGTGGAGCTGTTACGATTGAGAATGTTGGCAAGGCCAAAACCAGAGGAGCTACGCCACGGTTCAAGTTCCTGTTTATTCAAGAGCAGCAGAATTAGCAAGCGGGTTACACCAATTTGCTTGGCGTTGTGTTAGCAAGCGCGCACCTTTTTAAGTAATGCTACGTTTTCTTTTCGCCCGTGGCTATAGCTGTCGTAATTGTAATTGTCGTGGCCGAAGCTATCGTCACCGTAGCCTTCTCGTTTGATCCGGTCCATTGTAACGACGTCGGTGGCCGTGGGCTAAAAATATCACAAGTGGCCGTAAAACGGTCGGCGAAGAGCCGTTGAGGTCGATAGGGGCTGCTGCAACAAGAAAAAAAGTCGGAGTGAGAATGCAGATCTTAGGGTAACTCAAATCTCGCCGCCGCAGAGCGCGGCAAACCAAAACACACAGCCGGCACGTGTTGCAAACACACACGGCGGAGTATTGGAGTAAAGCGACATATACCATACAGCACGATAAAACTGGAGTCGAGAACTTACCTAGTACCGCAGTCCGGAATGTAGCTCAAAACCTCGTTCTCGCCGGCCTTGTATTCTGTTCCGCTCTCTCGGTGCTTTTTAAGCTTTGTGGTCTGAGCGGCGACAAGATCGACCTCGATGGCTTGGCTCACTTTGCTAACGTTCGTTCGCACGCTGACCTCAATAGTAAGCTTAAGTCTCTTTGAAGGTGATTCAGTTTCTTGCGATTAGGGCAGAAGCGAGAGAGTAGAGCCAGGTCTACATGCGTTTGCAACATCACTGAATGTCATGTCGCGACGTCGTAAGGATCGAAGATCGCGAGCATGAGACCAGTAGCAACTCTGTCGCCTGTCGACTCGACAGGATTAAGGGCGTGATGGTAATTCTAGCAATAGCCAGGCGCAGTGCTTGCCGTATTTTTTCCACGATTCTTCCTCAATCCAGTGTCGGTATCGCACAGTCAAGTCGATGGCAATCGGTAGTCGAAGGATCTTCGAGATAGAGATTCACCAAGTTGCGCATAAAAGCCGCACCGTGCGGGAAGTATTTTCCCCGTAGAATTTGGCAGATGCCTGCAGGGTGTAAATAGGGCTTTTTCGCATGCAAGCGTTCGTTACGAGCGGAGCCATTCAACCTCGGAACCTGATAAGTATTTTCAGAGATAAGCCTGTGATGATGGGCAAGCGGAAAATTAATGGCGGGCGGTTCTGATTGGCTACTCGAAACGATGTAAGAAAAGTAAAAGTATCTTGCCAAAAGTTCAGTTCACAGAGCCAGTTCACTACTCGCAGTAACGATTTGCTGCGAGCGGATTTCGTGGTGTCGATAAAGAAGCTCGTAATGCAGGTTACAGTATAACAGAGGGTCGCAGATGAGCTCTCTCCCGTCGCACCAGACGGCGCGCCGCCACCTGCAGCCGTCTCTCCCCAGCGATTATAAACGTGTCTCTTTAGTTGGCCTGACATGTCACTTCACAATATAAATCCACAGCTTGCTTAGTAGGATATCCTTCTCATCGTCACCTCAAAAAAATGCCTCTTTTGCAGCTCGTCGTATTGCATATCGCGTTTCTACAACACGTGTGCATTGCACCCACTCTAGCCAATAGAAAGCCAGCGCGCAGATTTTCTGCATGTTAGTCGAACCGGGGCGTATCCGATCTTGCTGTGGCCTTTGTTGCCGTTTTTTTTCGAATGAAGGGATGCTCTATTGCAGAAAACTGCACTCTAGCTGCCTCGAGAATCCTCTTCTCATCATTGGAGACAAGCCGGGCTTGTCGCTTTTTTTTGAGCGCAATGAGCGCCTATACAGGGATGCCAACGTAGAAAAATGGGGGTTGTAACACTACTCTTGTCGCTTGATTAGGACAGCCCGGTGGCGACAGCATCATCTTTATGTCGCAGCTACAACTCCTTTCGCATGCTCGCCGCAGAAAAAGTCGTACGACTCAGGCTCGCCGACATCGCGAGCCGTCTTGACTCTGCCTTTCTTTGCTCTAAGGATTCGCGCTGACCTGACGATCGCACAATTGGACTTGCTTTCAGCTGGGACGACTTGACGCAGCCGCTCACGGTGTCTCGATCCGCCATCATGTACAAGATCGCTAAGACACGCCAAGAATGGTGAGCGGCCGAAGCTGTCCCCGGTGAAAGTTTCTTCATTAGAGGGCTAGCTTGACCGTATCGTCAAATACGAAGTCTCGAAATTAGCGCGCCCAATCTTCTTCTTTTTGTGTGTGGAACAGAGTATCTATTTATTATCATGGTTTACAAGATTTCTGAAAAGACCGCAGCCATTGTAGTACCCCAAGGGATGTCTCCTGTCGGTTACGAGGGCTGTGCAGTGCCGGTTGACGATGGTGTCCAGGAATATTTCTGTTGCTAGGCGGAGGCAAACGCCATTGCTCATATTTATATACCTCTTGTAGAGTCCATGTCGCGTCCCGTAAAGTACAGATTCAACTGATGGGAAGCTACTCTGTGGGCATACCTAGACCTGGTGTTCCGTGAGAGTGTGTCCGTGTTCCCAGAGATGTGCCGGTGACTGCGACTTCGGAAAGTGGGTGCCGTCTTATGAGCCATCTCGGTGTTGTAGCCTGGTGATTACCACCGTTAGTGCTGGATGAATGAGCGCCGCGCCGCACGTGATGTGGTCTTCCTTCATACTCTGCATTTTGTGCTTCGTCCAGCACCGTATGGGGTTGCTTCGACAAAAATTACTTGCCATACCATTCGATGGGTTTTGGTAGCTTTCCACAAAATCCTGTGAACAGAAAGCGGTTTGCACTTTGTACGTACGCCGACACTCATGAAGTCCTCACTTTCACCAGAGACAATATTAGAGCGACGGATATCGCCACTAGCGCCCCAGTATCTTGCGCGAGCTGCTTCCTAAAAACTGATATGGTAAAGAGAATTATGGTGAAGATTGATGGCATCACTGCCATGACCCGGCTCACGCTATGGATGCCAAGCATATTTAGAAATGACAAGATGCCATCGGTAAATAACAACTAACAACTCAATGGACAACTTGAAATAGCCACGGTAGCGCTAAGTAGAGATGACGTTGCCGATCACGTCAGAAACTCGAGCTCAGTAACCCATTTGAGATGCCTAAAACGGTCAACACCATCACCACCAGAGTGTGTAGCCTCCTACAGTCAAAAGCAGCAGCAAGCTGTTTTTATAATCTGCAACTTTTGAATGTCGTGCTAAGCTTTGCCGTGACGTATGCAATGGGGCAAACATACAGGAACGGAAACGCCTGCAGAAAGATGAATGCAAGTCGAAGCATATCGACACTAGCCGACGATTTGCGATAATAATTTATATGCAGACATTCCTATGCCGTAAGACGTCGGATGTGACTGTTGATTCAATCGGCTTGGATATAAATCTCCGTGGCATCTTGCACAACCCGACAATGGACTCGGCTTTGAGTGCAATTCCTCGATTATCTCCAGAAAGGATTACATTACTTTTTTAGCTAGCTTAGTGAATCTATTGCTATCATTTGTTCTATAGCGCAGCTTGAATGGGCGCGAAGCTGCCGTGATGCTCCTGTACGAACCACACGTCGTCTACAATGTGGCCGTATAACCCACGAGCTGCTGGGTTTTCGGGGTCGGCTTCTACTTGCTGCCAGTGCAAATGCGTGGCATTTATGACGTCCATACGTGAGTAACCGAAAATGGAGTTGCGGAAAGCGTCCCAGACCTCAGCTGGTTTTTCAAATGACTTGCGCATAATTGACGTCAAGTACTGACCCGATGCGCCCGTCAAGATGTGCGTGGTGGCACGCATATTTCGAGTACGTTTCCACGTTTGGGACTTGTACACATCATAGGCTCGCTCGTAGTTGTGCTGGTGGCCACATAAGTACAGATCAACACCGTGCATGAAAAACTTGTCCTCAAGCTTGTCCCGCAGCATTGCAGCCTTCTTGCCGCAGTTTGTGTCGTCAGAGGTGCAGTACATGGGACGGTGTCCAATAACTACAAGCCAAGGAGTTTGCTCACGGTTTGCATTTGCCAGAGCAAGATCTTGCTCGAGCCATGCCTCCTGCCGTGCAATTACATCTCCGTCGACATCCAGAGTTTTTTTGAAGTAAATCTCAGTCGAGATGATCGTGAAATGAACGAGACCGACATCAAATGAATAGAACCAGTTGTTCGGCACCTCGTTGGGGTACGCTTCCTTGGAAGGCCCGCCGGTGTGGATGGTCTGCACACCTTTATTCTCATTGCTTGGCATGAGTCGGAAACGCTGTGAGTAGTGGCTGAATACATTGTGAGTCTCGTGGTTGCCAGGACACACCATAAAAGGCACGCTTGCAGCAATCGGCTCAATCTCCTGCATAAAGATATCTCCAACGTGACCATTAATCATGTCCAGATCGTAAGCGTAGTCCCCGACGGAAACAACACCCTCCACGACTCCTTCTGCCACCTCAGACTGCATCATCGGCAATGTGGCTGCATTCTGGTAGCCAATGTCTCCCGTGACCAAAAATCGCGTAGGTTTGGGTTTCTCTCCAGCGAGTAGAGGGGCTGGCGCAGTCTTGGTGACATACGGAATCGACCACGCCTTGTAGTATGCATTGCCGACAACATAAGTATACCGAGTGTACGGCCTTAAGCCCTCAAGTCTCACAACATGCAGCCAGCGCTTGGAATGCTTCTTGCCATCGTCTTCAAACAGCGTCGAGTTGGCCCAGGCAAACACAGGAGTAGCATTCGGTCCTTCCAACTCAATATGGGCATGATACCCTTCCACCATTTGCAACTGAGCGTTTCCTTCCCCGCAAAATTCCTTGGTCATCCATTGCACAGCCAAGCTGCCTGGCCGTAGACCGTAAGCCATGTGCACGTGCTTCGGACGGCATCGTTCTGCTAGTAATCCTCGAAACGGGACATTGATACCTAGTCGATGCACTGCTGACCAGCCATGGAACATGGAGCCAACAACAAACTCGTACGCCACATTTTGTGTTTCTTCTTGCAAGTTGATGAACGCTGTATGTGAAGTGAGCGTAGCTCCGTCCGTAGTGTACGTAATGGCCTCTTTCCTGGTAAAAAGTTCCTCTCTGTCTCCAATGACAAACATTGTGTCATTATCGCCCAGTCGACGATATCGTACTTCCACCTCAGCAGAAACGTCGTGGCAAGAGCGCCATGGGTTGGCGAGTGCGGGGCTGCGGTCCTTCGCTTTCTGTAACTTCACTTTCCGTATATACGTGCGTCGCGTGGCCCATTCTACAACAGCACGTGAGCCTACAATGGATGAGCGGACGTCGTATGGCACGCAATTCTCCACCTCGCGCTTCTCGAAGTCTTCAAAATCGTTTGGTTCTTGTTGGCGCGCGGCGACTGCGACACGGGGTGGAGGAGGAAAAGCAACAGAAGATGCAATGAAGGCCAACTTGCAAAGCAGCACCGCCAGCAGTGCTGAAGACGCGCGTGCCATGTTACCGGCAGGTTAACGACTATAACGACGCAAACGTTTTAGCTTCATTTGAAGATCGCGGTATCGCTAATTCACTATGCTATCGAATCTCGTTTAAACATCGATTACAGCAATTATATTTTCTTTTATCACGTTCTGACGATATAATTGTTTTATCTCAAGTCTATCATTGTAGCCAATCATTGAGCTTAGACGTTTTCTCCAATCACCGGACCAGTTTTTGTAAAATCAATTACTGGCTAGCCGAACCTGACTCCAGCAGATCTTTTGGTGACGTGACGCGATGAGTGAAGTTCCCGCTGTGAAGCAGCCTACATGGTTTCCTCCGCGACCCATTAATGGCCTGACAAAGTACTGGGACACACATTACCCTCTTCGTCTATACAATAGCATGACACGTACTAAGAACGCTTTCGTGCCCATGCAGGGCAAGCGCGTTCTCTGGTACATGTGCGGCCCCACGGTGTATGACCAGACGCACTTGGGCCATGGTCGCACTTATACATGCTTTGACTATGTTCGTCGCATTCTTGAGGAATACTTTGGTCTGGAGGTGGAGCTTGTCATGAACATCACGGACATCGACGATAAGATCATCCTGCGGGCCGCGGAGACTGGCTGGCTAGCGGCCAACCCCGGCAAAGAACTGCCCACAGACAAAGACCAAAAGTCCAAGCTTGTCATGGAGTGGGCCGCCCAACAGCCTGCTGAAGAGAATATGTGCCGCACCCGTGAATTGTCCAAGTACTGGGAAAAGTCGTTCCTGGACGACATGGCAGCACTCAATATCAAGAACCCTACTGTCATTACTCGTGTGAGTGAGTACGTGCCGGAAGTGGTGGAGTTTGTCGAAGGAATTATTAAGAATGGTTTTGCCTACGAGAGCAATGGGTCTGTATACTTCGACACGGCGGCCTTTGGATGCTCGAAGGGCAAGGCATACGGAAAGCTGTTGCCAGAAAATGTCGGGCAGTCGGAGTTGCTCGCGGAAGGTGAAGGTGCACTGTCTGCTGGACAGACAGACAAGCGCAACGTCAGCGACTTTGCTCTTTGGAAAAAGTCTAAGAGCGGCGAGCCGTTCTGGTCCTCACCATGGGGTGATGGACGGCCGGGATGGCACATAGAGTGCTCTGCGATGGCGAGTGACGCGCTTAAACACCTTGCCGGGGGTAAAATTGATGTTCACTCTGGTGGTATTGACCTGCGTTTTCCACACCATGACAATGAGATTGCGCAGTCCGAGGCGTACTTTGATTTCTCGCAATGGGTCAACTACTTTGTGCACACAGGCCACTTAAACATTGAAGGCTTAAAGATGTCGAAAAGCCTCAAGAATTTTGTGAAGATCCAGGAGGCGCTTTTGGACAACTCACCGCGCCAACTGCGCTTCTTGTTCTTGCTTCACAAGTACAACGTGCCCATGGACTACAACGACAACTCGATGGATGAGGCTGTAGGTGTTGACCGTTTCTTCACAGAGTTTTTTGCTAACGTAAAGGCGCGTCTCCGCGAGCTTGGTGTGGAAAAGACGCAAAAGTGGACATCTGTGGAGAAGACTCTGCATGGTGCTCTGCTTGATTGCAAGGACAAAGTTTTTCGCGCGCTAAGCGATGACATCAACACTCCGTTGGCGCTGCTGCACCTGCAGCAGTTGTCTAAGGAGGTTAATCGCTACATGGCGCGGGACATCGAGGAGCAGGCGTCGATGTTGATTCGTGCATGTGCGGAGTATATCACGCGCATCCTGTCTGTGTTCGGCCTTGTCACGTCGGCCACGGACATTGGTTTTCCGCTCAGCTCCGGCGGTGCTAGTGGTGCTGATGAAGAGACTGTGCTCTCGCCAGTGCTTGATATTTTTGCGCAGTTCCGTGATGAAATTCGAGAGGCGGCACGCTCTGCATCTGCTGACGACGGCGATGCTGAGGCTCTGGCTCGTACGGTGCTGCGTCTTTGCGATGTGGTGCGTGATGAAAAGCTACCGTATGCTGGTGTGCGTCTGGAAGACCGCTCTGCCGGTGCTGCCGTGTGGAAGTTGGCCAATAAGGATGAGCTGCTTGAGGAGATTGAAAAAAAAAGCAAGAGAAGGTAAAGAAAGAGGAGCAAAAGCGTCTGCGACTCGAGGAAGAGGCTCGCAAGAAGGCGGAGATTGCAGAAAAAGCCAAGATCTCGCCGAGCGAGATGTTCCTGGACATGAAGGACAAGTTTTCGAAGTTCGACGACAACGTAAGTGATCGCTTTTTTGAAGTTATGTATATGGTGCTAACATGCTGTCCTGGTTGGTGCATACGAATGTCAGGGTCTACCGACGCATGATGCCGCCGGCGAGCCACTGAGCAAGGGTCAGATAAAGAAATTGGTCAAGGAGCAATCGAAGCAAAAGTTACTGTTTGAGAAGCACAACAGCGACTAGACGAAATAGACATACGATGCATTGAATTTGTTTTGCCGTTGTCTAAAAATTATTTAGTAGCAAGCTACGTCTTTATAAGGAAATATATGACGGGCCAATAGTTACACGAGTCCCACGAGTCCACGAACCCCTTTAAGACCTCCCCGTTATATATCATTTACTTGTTTCCGCCTTTCGGGAACAAGACATTTTCAAGTTAATATACCATTGATACATATTGTATCTATAGGCATCAATAATAAACCAATAACAATTGCCACGCTGTGCCCGCTATTCGGGCGCAGCAATTGCATACAGACGTAATTGTATATTTCTGTTTGTGTGACATATGCATTGTGGCCACTACATTACTCCCTTTTTAAAACAGCACTCACCAGCCGTGTGTGCTTAACTTGTCGAAACTCCAACGCTCACAACTGAACCAAGCAATGGTCGACCACACGACTCCCAACACTGCAGCAGCACTTCCAAGCACCATCAGCGGTAGTGCAACTATCCACGTGATGAACCAACAACTCATCCTTTGGGCACTATATGACTTATCCGGAGCTCACGCTTCAGACTCACTGGAAACGATGCAGGACTACTTCCGGCGTTTTCGCTAACTGCGTGGAAAGAGTCTTGATGGAATCGGATACGAAGCCCTGCAACGTTCCTGGTGCGCATTCATCCGACGTTGGAAAATTGGATGCTCGAGGATGGTAGCAGCTTCCAGCAGTGTGCTCGCCAATCGAGAACACTTTCGCGCCGAATACTCGATCGGCGCGCTACGCGAAACGATGTGTGAGAATGCTTGCAATGAGGGCAGCCTCTGCTTTGTCCATGTCAACGAATGATGTCGCTCTTGTGACTCGATGCCACGTTCAACTCGTGACGAATGGCGACGACACATCTCTGAGTGTCCACTCAGCGAACGAAAACGAGGTTATATTGGGAAATACAAACGAAGTCTGAGCGAAAGGAGAAATGCACTTATTCGTGGTAGCAGCACCACTCATGACAGCGAAGTCGATCTCGGCTGAATGATCAGCGCAGGGCAGCGACAAGTTCGCCTGCCCGTCCTGCTGCGAGGATCTCGTCTCGTAGACGTAGTGATATATATTCACCACGAAGTTCTCGTTCTCGTTCACGTCATCGTTCTCGTTCTCGACGGCGTGGATCGCCTCACTGTTTTTGCTCAGCACGAGAACATTCACGCTCACGTTCGCATCGGAGTAGCCCGACTCCATGGACTCGTATGACCGAACAACATCTGGAAAGTCGAGAAGAAGCAAAGAAAGCGGTTCCACGTATCCTTCTCGTTTGAGAACCCAAGACAGCGTATACGATATTTGCGCGCGGATGGAGCTGCGCGTTTCTCATGAGCCGACTGCATCACTGCACGGGGAGGATTCTCGTGACCCACAATACGATTCACAATCCAGCGTACCTGGCCTTCCGCATCCACAAGCGGTGGTGGGACCTCACTATGCTAATACTGGTGTCCTGATTGCCCAGGATAATGTCGATAAGGCTGTAAACAAGGCTACCGATGCTCTGCTTGAAGCTGAGGCTGCTCTTGAACGTGCTACACAGGCGGAGAGAACTACGAGTGAGATCCGGCAGTCGAACCGTGAATTGCTCGAGCGGATGAGGGTTCTGGAGCGACAGGTGCTTGGTCGTGTACAGATGGCATCGCAGCCGCGACCGGTGTCATCGGCGCGTCGAACACGATGGGAAGGCCGATCGACCTACGGGCCCCTGAATTCGGCATCAAAGCCAACCCGTGAAGCGTAGTCAGACAATATTCCTATAGTCGCCCGACGTAGAACGTCGGGTGAAGTCGCAACGAAGAGTTAACATCCAGCGTGTAATCATCAACGATCGACTTCAGAAACGCGAATGGACCGATGAAGCGTGGAGCGAATTTGCTCGAACTTAGGTTAGTAACCGCTGAAACCCTTAGACCTTCGGTAGACAACAGTACACGATCACCTTTCTTGAGCTTGTTCGTGTCATTTCTGCCATGTTTATTAGCGTTCTCTTTCTGCTTGTCCACTGCAGACTGAAGTGCATCACGTACAAACCGGGTGATGGATTGACGTTGGAGTGTAAACTCTGACACGGCCATGTCATCAGTTGGTCGTACCGACTCAATTGCCGCGTAGTTGGTAGTAGGTGAACGCTTGCTCGAAGACGGGTTACTAATTGTCTTCGTAGTCCATCAAGCTAAAAGGGACGCGACACAACGTGGCACTAGTACAGCAGACTGCCCTGGATCGGTTTACTACATTTGCGCTCAAAATGTCGTGAGCTGCACTCGATACTTGTTTATCACCGTCATCCCCCTCTATAGTGGAGTCACGAGGTGCCGTGGGTCGCCTCACGGCAAGAAGAGTAAAAATGCGAGAGTGTCGAGCCGAATTAGCAAACAATGGCGTCAAGATTGCTGACGCGTGTACAGCATGGATGAGTGCGAGATTATCAAGTAGTATGAATGCACTCCAACTCGTGAATGAAGTAGCATAACTTTGAAGGACATATTTTAGGACTCGGTGTACGAGATCGGTTTGCCCATCCGTTTACTGTCGACATCTACAGCTTCGTCCCGAGGAGCTGGAACATTGACGTCCAAAATGCGAATGTGAATCGAGGATTGCGGTCCGAAACAATGTTTTATGGCGATCCGTGATAGCGTAACACCGCATCAATGAAGTGCGCCGCGGTCTCTATCGCGGTGATCGCAGCGTGAACAGGCACTAGATGTGTCATCTTGCTAAATCTGTCGACCCAAACTAGAACACCCGTTCGATCTTGACTATCGTACGATGAAGTTCATCGAAACTGAACGCCAGGCCTCAGCTGCAATCGGCAACGGTATCAGGGGGGCCTGCGAATACGGAGATGGCTTCACTCGCTGGCAGATTTTGCATGCTCGAATTTAGTTGCGCACCCACTTATACAAGTGAGGCCAGAAGAAGTCCCGAGATATAGCCGCGAAAGTATTTTCGTGGCCTAAGTGGCCGACAGCTGGGGCATCGTGATACTCGTTAATGATCCAAGACGCAAATCCATGTCGTTGGCGATCACCGTGCGAGGAGCTTTAAATTGATCGATGCTGTACTGAAACAAATCTCCGTTCAGGCTGTATCGTTGAAGTGACAGAGCATCGGCGAGAATATTCGTCTTGCCCGGCTTGTAATGTACGACGAAATTGTACTCGGAGAAGAATGAAAGCCATCGTGCCATCCGTTGGGACAGATGTGGACTCTTTATCGCTGTGCGCAGCGATGCATGATCGGTATAAAAATCAAATGTACGTTCACCAAGCAGATGCACGCAAAACTTGATGAGTGCGTAACGCATCGCTAACAACTACTTGTCGTGAACTGGATGGTCCTTCTCAGCTGGCTTCATCTGTCTCGATGATAACTCACGACTCGTTCATGGCCCTCATCATCAAATTGCATGAGGGCACAACTGATTGCGAAATCACTGGCATCGCATACCACGTGAAACAGCTTGGTCTCGTAGGAACAGCACTGGCGCTGACATCAGGCTATTCTTCACTGCATCGAAAGCTGCTTGATGCTCTGGACGCCACTACCATGGGGCGTCTTTCTTCAAGAGTGACGACAAAGGCTGTATAGAACCAGCATAATCCTTTGCATACTTATGCAAGTAATTAGCCGAGCCACTGGCGCAACTCCGTAGGTTTCTTGGGTGTGGTCCAAGAACAGATTGACGACACCTTCTCTGGATCAGCTCGAACTCCTGATTACTCACACAACACCCCAGCACCGAATCTCCGGTGCAAAAAAGACACACTTCTTGATATTCGCATACAACTTATTGTCTCTCATAACTTGAAACACATGTAGCAAATGTTGAAGGTGTACTTGGACATCGCTGAGGCTGCCCTCAACGCGACGGTGGACAAAAATGTCGTTAAAATAACTTGGAGCAAAGTTCCGAAGTGGTATCAAGACTTGAGACACCATGCGATTGAAAGCGGCCGGTGCATTATTCAGTCCTTGTGGCATAACCAGCCACTCCCATAACCATCCACTTGGGGTACTCACCGCTGTGAGTGGTATGTCGCTCGGTCGCATCAAAATCTGATAAAAGCCATCGGTTGGATCGATAGCACTGAAGATGACACTTCCTGACATGAAATTTTGCACCATGTCATTTCTGGGGATATAGAAATAGTGGCATCATTTAACTTATCAAAACGCATGCACTATCCGCTAGCCTCTCGCAGCCTTCTTCACGCAGAAGGTTGGACTCGAATGTCTCACGCATATGACCCGCCTTGCGGCGGCCTTCAAAGAATGCGTCAATAGTTTCGACTTGATCTCGATGCAGCGGCCACTGCCGTGTCACACAATACTTCAAACCTGGCACGAGATCAATCTCGTACCGAACATTTAGATCAGCAGGAAATTCAGCCGGAATCTTGTCCGGGAACACGTCTGTATACTCACGAGCAATGTCGTAGACAGGGTTACCAGACTCTCGTAGAGCTTCCCATGACCTCGACGCAAATCGTTCATCACGCGCTGACTTTGGTTCAGCGCTACGAGAACGCGTCATATGTCACGGTAACCATCTCTTTAGTCATCATACACACTTTTTCCACAGTTCCTTCCTTAAGGTCACGTAGTAAATGCTTCCAAGAGAGCCCTGGAGGCTTGTAATTGAAGACGCGTCGCGAGGTAAACTCGCGACTTCAATGTGTTGGCGCCTTTGTGGACTCCCTCCCACATACACGATAGCGTGGACACATTCCAACGCTGAATTATCGATGGTTGGGGCCCCACCTGCTTCGAGCCACTACTCGAAGCTAGCGAACCGCAGCCAGGCGATAAACCATCACCCCCTCTAGACACTGGATGTTTTTATCCATAATGCCAGAAACGCTTGACGGGAGTAGCCCATACTCGACCGTCGACACTTGATGTGGGAGCTTCTGCTTGGCCGCCGTAACCCCGTGTGGGATCCCCTGCTCAACCACAATT